TTTAATAGGAGGGGATAAATTAGGGAAGGAAACACAAGGACAATGGAGGAGGGGGAAAGTACCTACAACAAAGACAGGCTGAGGAGGGACAGAACTGGGGACACTGGTGGAGGGCAGTAGGGACAGGTGTTGGAACAATGTACACCTGAAACTCAATCATAAATATCTATGTAACAAATACATAAAAATTAATTAGGGGCTGGAGAGGTGTACAGGGGTACTTGCCTCTCATACAGCCAAACCCTACTCAATCCCCAACACTGAAATGGTCCACTGAGTCCCACCAGGAGTGATCTCAGAGCACAGAGCCAGGAGGAACCTCATAAACTCCATCAAGTGTGAGGGGCCCCCAAGACAACGTCTCATGAAAATAAAATAAATTAAAGCGAGAGGTAGAATGTGAAAAGTCAATACTACAGAAAGCACTTTAATATTCTTTTTTCTCAGAATCAGCAACTTTATTGAAAAGGGGAGAGGTCCACCCCCTCCGATCACCCCCCCACCCCCCCATCCACCATTCCCTGAGGTCAGGCCTCAGGTATGGGCCCTCCATGCAAATCCTGCAGTCTGAGAATGGCTTTTAAGTAAATTTCATTTTGGCAAATGATTACGCATGAATCAATAAACATTGAAATAATGATTTCATTTATTTGTTCTATATGTATCTGATTAATAGACTTTAATTTTGTTGATGAAAACAAGAGAACTCTATTGTTATATAAAGATTAGAAATATAAACAGCATTTCCCACAACTACTGACTTCACAAATTATTCTGAATGTTATTTCTCAAATAACACAGGGAATGCCAGTGACAGGGAAGCAAAGAGTTCTGCTGCCCCCTAATGAAATAAACAAAACACAAAAATCACTTGGAAATCTCCTTCTGAGGTATCTGTGGAAAAGGAAAATAAGATTCTTTTGTTAAGTGCAATAGACTAGCACTAAAACAACGGAAAACAACTAAAACATATCTCAAACTACTGTAGGAAAAGCTGTAATCTCACCAGCTTTCATGATAAAATTAGTAGCAAAACAGGAAAGCCTTGAGACAGAAAAGTTCTAAGAGAAAAAAAGACTAGTACAACAATGTTATCTAATGTGATAGCAATGAGAACGTCATTTACTGCAGGCGACACTTTTCATGTGTACGTTGGAAGGGTATGAGAAGGATTCCAAGAAACTGTACTTGTTGGTGAATTACAGTATGTTTTCAGCCCAGCAGCTCACTGGTAAATACCATCAAAATATTCTCTCCTAGTTTGCACTGACTAATCCTCCCAGAATTACTTTAACACCTGAATATTTTCAGGACTACTACCATGAAAAATAAACATGTAAAAGAAACTGACCTAGTGTTTCCTACTTTAAACAAAGGCAAATTTCACAAGAATTGACAACGTTTGTATTTCAGGGTACTCTGCATTATAAACCAGTCAGTGGTAACTTCTCTACTTCCTCTCCATTTACTTAAACTTGCCTTCCAAAAAAATAGCCACAAGGGTCTAGAGAGATAGTACAGACAGAGATTCCAGTGTTTGCCTCACATGCAAACCGTGTTTGTTGCAGGCTTGACCTCCGCATCCCATCCCAGGTCCCCCCAGCCCTGCCAGGAGTGAACCTTGAACACAGAGCCAGGAGTAAGTCCTGAATACTGCCAGATGTGTACCCCCTCCCACCCCAAAAAATGAATGAAAATAAAAACACGCTTCAAATACTCGTTCCTTTTACTGAAAATGTTAGCCCTTCCAGGATTGCCAAAGTCTCATTTTAGAACAGAGCAAAGGCTGGGTTGGTGGGCAAAGGTGGAGTAGTATGTGGTCCTTAATAAGAGGAACTGGATTCAAATTAGCAACAAGACGCAGAGAGATGGCTCAATGGGCTGAAGGGCATGACTGGCACATGCAAAGCTCCAGATGAGAGCTATGACATCACAAGGCCTCAGGGGCACTGCAGTCTTGGAGGCCCCCAGTACCCGGTGAATTCCTCTTCCTCCCTCCCCCAAAACAAAAAACAAAATTATCAAACAACCTTGTATAACAAGAGTACAAAGGAATAAAGTACTGGGTCAGAAAAACAGGGAGAAAGTGAACAAAATAAAAAGGATAAAGAAAATCTGGAGACAAGAAGCGAGCAGGAGTTAACTGTTCTTTTGCTCTCTAAGGACACACTCCTGTGGGGGATGGCAGGGACGAACTCTCTTTTCACTACATGCCTCCAGCTTAGGACACCCACAAAAGATCCAATCAATGCAATGCTGCAGGGAGAAGAAAAGATAAAGGCTCAGAGAAGGAAGTGACTACAACAGGGAAATGGCCTTCACTTTTGTATGCTCCTTGTTGGTTGTCTTATTTTGTTTTGTTTTATTTTTTTTTTGAGTGTGCCAGTAGAGATGGTTCTCTACTTGTGCATACTTCTACACATTACAGGGATAACCGAATGCCTGTTGAGTTTCAAAGTAACAACATAAAAGAAAATATAATCACACTCAAGGCTGTACCTCTAACGTGTTTGAATTCATATGTATTTATTTCTGGACAATAAGCTTAAAAAACACAACTAAAAGCACTATTCATTCTTTGCTACTTCCAGGGCAGGCGTGCTGGTATATTCTGAAGACATTACAAAGGAGCTAGGAGGACACAACATCAAAATTTAAGATGTTTTAGAGTATACTCAATGTTTGGACAAAATAGGAGCTTTCTAGCCTATAAATTGGATTTAGTTACTCCGACAACATAAGGCAGTTATAAAAATAAAACAGTAAATATAAAGAACTCATATGTATCTATAAACCTTTGCATGTGTGTTTTCACTCATAGAATACTCCCAGTCTATATCTATACCAGTGAGTTCCAGATTATTATCCTAAATTGAAGTTACCAATCTCATAGAAGAAAAAATTTTTCGCTAGGGCACTTGCCTTGATTGGGCCAATCAGGGTTCAATCCCCTGTATCTCATATGATCACTAGGTGTGGCCCCCAAAGTCCTCCCCCCACCCCCGCCCGCCCCTCTTTAAAAAAAAAAGCAGCAAAACAATAAAAGAACTAGGGTTAGTGTCTAGTCTGACTTAGTTGTCCACTACAAAAAGTTGAATTGAATACTGGGGGACTTTCTTCCCCAGTTTCTAACAAGCACATATATGAAAACTACTATCAAGAAAAAGCTTGAATAATGCAAAACAAGAAAAAAAGAAATGAAATGAATCAGGAAATAAATTGAAATGCAATTCAGCTTATAAAACAGACTTGCTCATTCAGTACACCAAAACCATTTTATTTTTGATGGTGATGATAAAGATGACAGCAGTGAGCATTTACTGAGCACATACCAAAACACTAGGCATTGGACTAAACACTTTACAAATACTGGGTACTTAGAGAGAAAGAAGTTGAGGGAGGGAGGGGGAGAGAGAGAGAGAAGTACCTACCATAGAGAGAGAAGTACCTACCATAGAGGCAGACTGGGGGTGGGGGTGGGGGTGAGGGAAGGAGGGGTGATGAGAGGGAAACTGGGGACACTGGTGTTGGGAAATGTACACTGGTGGAGGGATCGGTGTTGGAACACTGTATGACTGGAACCTAATTAAGAACTGCTTTGTAAAGATCTATCTCAGTGATTCAATAATAAAATATTAAAAAAATACTGGGTATTTAATCTTCATAAAACCTTGGTAGACAGGTAATATTACTTTCATTTTATAGATGGAAAGACTGATACTTACAAAGACTTGTCCAGGGTTACAATGCCATTAAATTGCAAAGAACATATAATATACCAGTTTGACTCTTAAGCATAAAATGCATATTATTTCTTGGAAAAAAAAAAGTGTGGGGAATCAAATGACACTATTGAATAGTAAATTTGTAAATTAAATGTACTTAAACCTTATTCAATCACCTAACTTTTTGTAGTAGATAAGTAAGCCAGACTAAGTACAAATCCCAGTTATTTTATTGTTTTCTACTTTTTATTTTTAAAAAGGGGTAGGACTTGTGGGCCACACCCAGTGGTTCTCAGGGCTTACACCTGGCTCTGCATTCAGGGATCACTCCTGGCAGAGTTCAGGAGACTGTATGGAATACAGGGGATTGAACCGTGGTTGGCCCCATCCAAGGCAAGTGCCCTGTCCACTACAGTATGGCTCTACTCCCTAATCCTGGAAAACAAAATGCGTGTCATAAAATAAACGGTGGCGGAACCAACATAGAAGTAATATCCCCATTCTTCAATGCCTATTACAAATAACAATCTCTATTATTTATTCTCCATCATATCTAACTACAGTTATTTCTCCTTCCTTAGCTCTTCCAGGGTACCTTATCTTCACCCCTACTTCCTAAAGTGGGCAGTAGTCACTCCCTCATTTCTATTATCGATACAATAAAAATATAATCAATACTTCTCATCAGTATCTGAAATATTTCTATGTTCCAGTAAAAAAAAAAAAAGTTGCATGGAAATTCTTGACCCTTTCTGAACATGTAGAAGTTTTCTGTACCAGGAGAAATGACCAGTTAGCATAAAACTAATCAGAAATACTATTTTGTTAAGAGCTGAGTTTTAAACATGTGCCCACGCATAATACACACACACATACACACAGTAGTACAACTCAAACCATCTTCATAGTTCAGGCTCTGACTGGCTAGAAAACATTTCCTTTAGGGCATGTATGCAGACAAATACCAAAAACATTAAAATCACAATTTTATATGACAAATTTTCCCACTGCAGAATTGAGAAGACATGTTGAAATTCTTATCCAAAAAGCATCTTGCAAGACAAGCCATTTCTTCAAATAAGTAACTAACTGATGTGTACATCATTGCTATTACAGTGTATCACAAATATAGGATCTATCGATTTGCAAATCCTTATGTAATTTTAATTAAATTGTGCTTAATTTTTCAACCCCAAGAACAAAGAACCTTGTTCACAACAAAACATAAGGCCTCATAAACAAAACACATCATCTCCATGGAATATCCTTTCTTACCTTTGAGTCTTCATTGCTCACTCCTAGCTGTATCACGGCGTGGGGAGATTTTAGTTTTGCTTGAGCAGAGTTAGCCATCTGAAGGTTAAGCTGCCATCCAACCGTCTCCAGCTATAAAAGACAAGTGCAGATTGGAATCAGATGGTACAGAAGGAAGAAAATAGTCAACTCCAAGCAAATCTCCACTCAGCGGGCATAAACATGGACAGGTTGGACTTCAGGAAAGGCAGTTCCCGAACCTGCACGCGCAGCACATTCTCCCTGCGGGCTCTGTAGACTGGCCAGTTGCCAGATCTGTCAGATTCATGAGTAAAACTAGGCTTTAAAAACACTGTGTTCTAAAAATAAAGAGTTCTAAGAGGAAGCCACGGAGTGCACTAGAAGTCAATGGTTCTCAAATAGCAAACACATCACTGTTATTAAAATAGTGCATTTGAAAGTCAAAAGATTTGTAACTAGTTCAGACACTTCAACTAGTCAATAACATTTAGTGGCCTACCTTTATCTTTCAAAATCTTTTCATTAGGTAGAACCCAGGTTAAAAAAAAGAATTTTTTTTAATTTAGTAAAAAATTATACTACCCAGATGGTAAGAGGTTCACACTTTTAGACACAGTACGGCTGGAATACGGCCATCAGAGAACTGACATCTACTGGCGAGCAAGCAGGTCTCCCCAAAAGATTAAGCTTTCTAAATTTCTACTGTGGCTCCAAGTTGTGACAGAAATTAATTAAAACATTTCCTTTAAACTTATCAGCATAACAGCAAAATTTAATCAGGTAAGGAAAAATAATGAAGTCAGATTATAGCTGTGAGTTTTCTTTTAAAATATCGAACAATATAGATGCCACTTGATTGAACTTACCAGTTTACTGGTTTCTCCCATCTCAGAACCGTGAAGATTAAGATTTAATTTCTAGTCACTCTCTAGTATCAATATTTAAGGAAGTTTTGTAAAATGCAATTGTCTCTGACAAAACACTAATGCCCATTTTGGTAAAACTACCTGAGTTAGGCTAGTAATAATGGCAGCTTCGTGGCAATTTTTACTTACCAGAGTACTAATTGCTAAAGATTGCTCAAGAGCAAGAAGCACAGGAATGACTCAAAGCCAAAATAGAAAAAGTAATGAAAGTATTATCTGTTCAAGAGAGGATATAATGTGAAAAACTACTGCTCTGCTTTTTCAGGGACTAAGCCTTTTAGAGGCAACAGGTACAGTGGGGATAGATACTGTAATCCATAGTACCACAAGATTAAAAAAAAGAAAAGAAAAAAGCTTAATGGTGCAGGTAGGTAAGAATCCATAATGCACGATCTTTTAGCTCACTGGTGGAGTTAGCACAGGTGAATTTTATATCCAACAGTAATGTACAACAAGAAAAAAGTCAGACCCACTCTCAGATATCTCAGCATCCTAATACATGTCACGGCCTTCACTGAAAAACACCTTCTTGGTATTCATGAGAACCTGTGAGATGCAGTTTTCACCTCATTCAACAGATCAGATCCCTATTTTTAGGCACTTAACATAAATGATAAAGATGAATATCATGAAGATAAAAATAAACAAATCCCCATTGTAATGGAACCCCTGTATAAATTAATGCAGCTTCGTCACCACATGAGATGGGTGAATTAAAAAGCACTGAACTTAAAGTTTATGCTTCTCCTCATGTATAAACTGCACTTACTATATGACTTTGCTTAAGTCACAATCTTTCAAATCTCAAGTATCTCATAAAATAGAAATGAATCTTCCTGAACTTTACAAAATAACTGGTATTATCAAGTACGGAAAAAGCATGTTCAAGATGTTTTGGAAGCTGCACAGCATTACAAACAATACATTCTGTTCACCTAATTTTTCCTATATCTTCCAACACAGTAGGCACCCTCTGTTCATTAAAACAAATCAAAGAATATTCATATGAATCTTTTTTTTCTTTTTGAGTCACACCCAGTGATGCACCCTGGAAACCCTGGGTAAGGCCTAGGACTTTCTTTTCGTGCAAAGAGTATGCATTTCAGCCTGAGTTTGAGGCTCCCAGAGAAATCAGGTGGTGGGGATTAACTTCCATGTTGAAAAGACCAAGCAGATGTCAGGATGTCAGGTGTGGCTTGGAGGCCACCTGGTGGGGCTGCCGGGCTTTAATCCATGCTGTGTAGGGGATAATAGAAGACTCTATGAGTCTGAGTTTTCCCAGCCAGTCCAGGGCTGGCAGAGGGTGATTGGGACGAAGTAACTGTCTTTCTCTTCCCCGCCTCATATAAGCCACCTCTGGAGGCCCATAAACTTCAAAAGTATTTGCCCCATACCTGCATGAAGAAATATTTTAAAGTAAATAAAATTGCTAAACTTATATATAGGTAAATGTACGTACATAAAAGCACTCATTCCATTTCAGGTAAAATTACCAGCATTCGGAGAACTCAAATGAAGAGAAAATTCAGAATGAATAATGGAAATTATTAAATACTTTGCAATTAAAGAACAATATCTTATATAATAAAAAATGCTTTCTAGGGATCAAGCAGTAGATGGCTTGCCTTGCACGTGTGCAGTCCTGGGTTTCATTCCCAGCACACCACACAGAAACAAAGACACACACACACACACACACACACACGCATGCATGCATGCACACACCACCACCACCACCACCACCACCACCCCACTCACTACATAGCACTTTCATACTTTTTTCTAAAACCTTCACAGAGTGAGAAGGGCAGTTTTCAATTTATGTAATCTAATTAATAACGTTAGCTTTTTGAAGCACTTTGCATAATAAATCTGCATCATCAAGAGAGCACTCTTTGCTGGGAGAATCCATTTGAATGTATATGAGGTGACCCCTCAATAACGGGCATGCATCTGTGTAGATGACTGTAAAGGAATTTTCGTTTAAAACTTAAATTTGGGGCAATTTTTCTTTTGTTTGAAAAAGAGGCTTTTTCATGACTTCTATTGCACTGCAGAGAAACTATGTTCTAAGTAAGTATGTATATTTTACAAAGGGAACATGAGGGTAGCACCAACAGAGGAGTATTCTTCATTGGAAACATATCTGTAAATAGGCAACAGTGAGTGCAAAAGTGCTCCCATTTCCACCTTTCACCTTTTTTGCCTTTGGTAGGAAAAAAAGGTTGTAGAATTTAGACAAAGTAATTTATAATCACCTCAAATGCTTGCATTAGTCAAATCAGCAAAATTTTCAAGTCCATCATTTGAAGGCTCTCCAGGAGATCCCAAATTTTATTACCTATTTTGAAGCTAGCAGTGCCCAACTTAAACAACTGCATTCTAAAACTCAAGAGATTTGGAACTTAAAACAAATCTGCAACAAAATAACATTATAAACGGTGATGAAATTACCAACTCATTTAATAAAAAAAATCCCTACTTTATTCCCTAATAAAAGGAACAAAGGAATATCTACTTCAAAAAATACTATTATGGGCTGGAGCAATCGTACAGCAGTGAGGCACTTCCCCTGCATGCAGCAGACCTAGGTTGGATCCCCAGCACCTCGTATAGCCCCCTGAGTTCTACCAGGAATGATTCCGTGAGCACCACCAGGTGTGGCCCAACAACAAAAAATAAATAAACAAGATAAAATTTCAACAAATACTACTTTTGCATTAAGACAAAACTTCAATTTCTAACATTTCACATATGATTTTCATAAATACTATAAACACATAAATATCAACCTTTGCGAACATTCAATTCAAGAAAATGTCTGTGCTTTTAGGATTCCAGTGATTTTCATTATTGTGCAAGTTCAACTAAGTCTAGATGAAACTGTACATTTCTTGTTACTAGAATCAGACTTTCACTCATTTTCTATGCACTTTAAAATAACAATAGAAAAATGATATAAATACTGGTTTGTGTAGAAGGTAAAAATGAAGTTGCCGTTAACTGAGATAAAAAAAATGAATAAATTTCAAATCTTTGTAATATGAAATTTTAAATGTCTGTTAGGTACTCAATAAAATTATAATGTTGGTAGACTCAGGCTAGAGAAAGAAAATTATGAGGAATATTTGAACTCTGAACTCACAAGCTGATGTCAACTTACCCCTCTGACACCACATATATTCCTCCAGCACTGCCAGGAGTGATCCTTGAACACAGAGCCAAGACTAAGTTCTGAGTACTTTCAGGTATGGCCAAAAACCAAAATCCAACTTTGGGGATGAAGATAACCATATACAGAAACAATTCTGATATAATAAGCTCATATATATAGAAATTTATTTTTCAAAAAGCTACAAAAACTAGTGGGTGATTTCAAGAAAGATATGTCACACAAGATTAATAAGAAAAATCCATTATAGTATATTAGACACAAACAACTAGAGAATATAAAAAACATAACTCCGTATACGACAGCAACCAAAATCATAAAAAGACAAAGTGTCTTAGGCCAGGAATATAGCTCCATGACAAAGTACTTGTCTTGCACTTGTGAGGTCATACGTTTGATCCCTGGTACCAAAAGGTCCGGGGCAGGGGGAGGGGGAAGACATAATGTCTTAGTCTTTGGGGCACCTTTAATAAAATACCATCTGCTAGGTAGATTAACAACAAATGTCATGCTGGGGAGATGGCTGGAGTCATCTCAATGGCTGGAGCACATGTCTTGCATGCTTAGGCCCAGAGTCTAATCCTCAGAAACTGAGCCCCCCAAGTGTGGCTCTGGTGGCTCCTGGGAACAGGGGGCCCAAGCAGCATCACATCGGAGTATCAGAGAGTGCCCCTGAGCTCCCTGAACATTGCTTAGAAAATATCAATCATAATAATAACAACGATTTGTTTCTGACAGTGCCAGTATGGTTGGGTGAGGATCCCTTCCAGATTGATGCCTTTGTATTCTCACACTGCAGGAGTAGGGGCAAGAAAATTTTTTCCTGAAGGGTGCTAATTTCATTCATGAAGGTTTTGCCCTCATGAGGTCAACATGGCCACAGAGATATCCTGCAACCATCACATTGGGGGTTAGGTTTCAATATTGTGAATTCAGAAGGACATATTTTATAACACATAGATAACTGTAATAAAATGTGTATAAATGTTGGCATTGAAAAACTAAAAAAATTA